TTTTAATAAATTTATAAAATATATTGAATTTGTAATATATAATTCATCTTGTAAAATATTTTTTTATTTAAATTTTGATTGTTTTTCAATCTTTGGTTGGCAACATTGTGGAAGTTTGATTTTAGTGCTATCTAGAATTCTTATTAACTTAAGCATCAAAATGTTTATTTGATAGTGTATTTTGTTTGAAAGAAATAAGAGGGAATGGGAAGGGAAAACACAATTGTTAGAGTCTATTCGATCTTTGCGGGATTCAATAGATCTTGTTGAACCATCTGAGTTCTACTAGTAATTCTCTTGAGTTAACTTTAACGGGAGCCAAAAATTACTATTTTGGTGCCATTGTTTAATTGAGCACTTCACAGACTTTATATGGGGAAAGTTTTAGTTTGGGATATATATCTCCAAGCAAAGCACTAAAATTTCTCATAGAAAATTAGGCTAAGTTAAGGTGCCGTTTCCAACTTTGATAAGTTAAGGTGGAACGTGCAAGCTTAATTAACAACGGAATTATTGGGTTTATTTATATAATTTTAAGTTAAAATTATTGATAAGTAAATATTGTTTTGTATATTAGTTTTAAAATTTAAGTTTTAAAATCAGTACTTAAAAAATTAATTTTTTTAAATATACTATATCAATAAAGAGGATGCATCTGTAAATTTTTTTTAAAAAAAAATTAATTTCAAAATACACAAAAACTAATCAAGACCTAACTAAAAAAATAATTTAGTATAAGTACAACCCAAAGAAAGTATAAGAAAGTCCTCTAATAGAACTAATACGAAGAGAACTAATACGAAGAGAGTGCTCAAGTACACTATAAAAACCATGTAAGCTAGATCAACGACCTATTAGTTAGGTGGAAAGAGTCCGGTTCTCCTTAAATAAAATTTTGAGTTCAGTCCTCCTTAAATAAAGTATTGAGTTCGAGTATTATAAATAAAAAATAGACACTAGAAGAGTTTCTCTCAAATAAAGTCCGATGTAACTCGATTTTAAATTAGGACCGTGATACATTTACCCTCACTATTTACACCCTCCGTTACACACCTTCATTTTC